TATATGATGGCGGTGTGTAAATAATGAGTCCAGACAAGGCAATCCAATGATTGACATTATGTCCCATGATTGTTCCAGGAAATATTGGACAAAAAATTAGGCTTCAGACACACATTTTTGTATGATGTTATTTTATAAAAGTTTAGGATCATAGTTAAAATTAAAAAACTTTTTTTTTGGCAGCTGTAGTTGAAGAGATATAAAGTCTTCACTTTTTACTTGTTTGCCGAGTGTATGTTGCTATACATAAAGGCAACAGTTTCTCAAAGCATACACTTTCCTTGATCACCATATTCTTTATTTGAACTCATAAACGACAACTGATAGTGACTGAGTGAGTTGGGTATATTGCAGCTTTCCTCAATAGTTCAGTTGTGTCGCTGCGTGTCAGCTTAATGTGAGAGGAAGCCCGACGTGATGCAGGTCTTAGACGTTTACCACTTTGCTGAAACCCAAGAGCAAGGGTAGGGTGCTGACATACCTAGAAACATAACCGTGACGAACCAAGACTCGAACCCACAATCATAGGTTTCTAGCGTGCCCACGGGGCACAGCGAATTGCAGCGCCTTAAACGACTGGTACGCCCGTGCCCCCACAACTGACAGTAGTGTAATTACACGATATCTATCCATATACATCTTCCATGCCATCAATTTAAGAATATTGATGCAGTCTTGATGTCGTGTCTACCTTGATGAATCCCAGTCATTTACATAAACCTGTATTTTAACAACCGTATCAAATAAAATTTAATTGTCATGTCACACACTAATGAAATACTTTTCTTCCCTCACTAGTGATCATATTATAGGTATATTGCCCCCTCCTGTCATGAATACTTGGAGGCAGATCCATTAGCGTTTTCACAAAGAGACAGGTATACTGATTTCGTTCTCACTTACAATTATATGGCTTTGGCATAAATTAAATAAATTTGCGTGATTCAGTGATCATGGTCATTTTATGATAACACAACATTAGGATTGAAACTTAAAAGAAGACCGCATCCGTGGTCTAGTGGTAGAGCGTCCGTCCGATGAGCGACCCCGTTGCGTCATACCAAAAGACGTTAAAAGATGGTACTTGATGCTACCCTGCCTGGTGCTCGGTAGTAGGGGCTAAAACAAGGACTGGTCAGCTCGGAGTCAATATACTGTGTCTGAATTGGGTATTCATGTTAAACTGAGGAATGGTATCTCAGGTAACACACACACACACACACACACACACACACACACACACACACAGACACACAGACACAGACACACACACACACACACACACACACACACACACACACTTGCTTGCATGAACGTCGCTATATAAGTGCAATAATCTTCGACGAGACGTTACGCCCCATTTCACCTCACCTCGCCTTGAAAACAGTAAAACGTAAAATCGTGTTAAACAGCAATGGTGGAAGAACTATACATTGTGCAAACTGATCTTTACGGATTAATTTAAGTTTAGTTTCGCCCATGGTTTAGCAGGTGGCAGGATTAAGCCAATTAAATCAATATGGTTTGCTGAACATGTTACTCGATAGGAGGGAATACTTAGATATTGAATAAAATATTATCATATGAAGCTTGCGTCGAAAGTCCCTTTGATTGATTCTTTGAACCGCTCATTTTGTCACCAGTGATAATTTTAGTTCCGCATGCATCAGCCTAGTCAAGTCACTCCAACTGTGATAATGTGCATATTACTTGCTAATGTAGTGTGTGAAACGTATACGTCCCCAGGGAGAGTCTGGCCACAGCTAAATCAATATCGTTGACAGTGTTTGTGTAGCGCCGTGGAGGATTAAGAGGGCTACACATTGCTACCTAATATGATTTCAATTCATGTACAGACTGTTGGTTCAACAAGTGAAAATAACAACAAATATTCGTTAACTTCATGCTATTGTCAATTAAATGTTGGCATGGTGTTGTCCTATGATAATGTTACCGGAGAAAAAGAAACAAAACTAAACTTAACTTAATGTGAATCATCGAGATGTGCACTCTGTTTTTATTGATATTTATGTACTGAAGTTGAGAGGCATGCACTGTTATACCAGTTATAATATGTCTAAATGATACAGAGTGGTACACCTGTCACAGGCAATCAAGTGGTTTACAATGTCCATTTTTAATGAAACGAGTCAACGGCGGCCATATAAGTGGCTTAATAGTCTGTAAGTGATCGTGATATTTATGACAATAATTTCTATTACGTCAAAGATCTGTGGTGAAAATCTGGGCTGTTTACGCATTGCCCGAAAGATACTATCACAGAAACTGACATCACTATTGACGACTGTATTTTAATATGACCTAAACTGTTCCGAGAAATGCATGATGTCGTTCCTGTTGCAGGTTCGACGTACGTCGTGCGATGATTTCAACATTCCCCCAAACGCGTATTCCTACCAGGACACCGTGCAGGTGGAAAATCAACATTTTTAGCTGAGACCTCACCTCATCAGTGTGTCGGCTAGCGATAGCAAATGGCCCTTGAGAGCGCTCTGCACCAAAATGATGCAGCTTAGCTATCTCCACACTTTTCAGGAGAGAGTCCACCACACGCGATGCTGATCCTATCATATCACCAGTAATCTCCCATCCACCCCCTGTCACCTGCAGATACTGGGAACATCAGACAATCTTTGGGAAGCTGGTTTAGGAGAACGGAGAGCCAGAGACAGAGTGCATCGCTCACAACCACGGTTGATAAATGAGGACTAACCTTTGCGTCAGACTGGTCCTAATGTGATAAAGTCATATAAAGAGATCAGACGCTAGATAATTCTTTGACGCTCTGGTGCTTTTTTTTCTGAGTGACATTTGTCTTTTTAAGATCATTACATTTAACGGTGACGCTCAGACGATTGTCTTAAACGATTTGTAGACTTGTAAAATGCTGCTTCAGATGGGTTGGTTTTGGTGTGTGTGTGTGTGTGTGTGTGTGTGTGTGTGTGTGTCCTTGGCGGTGTTGGTGGTGTTTGCGTGTATGTTTGAGCATGTGTGTGAATGTGTGTGTATTGTTGGTAGTAGGTGTGTTGTGAGTGTTAATGGCGTGTGTGTGAGGACGTGTGTATGATTGCTTGGTTGGTTTGTTGTTTAACGCCGCACCCAGCAGTATTCCAGCTATATGACGGCGGTCTGTAAATAATCGCGTCTGGACCAGACAATCCAGTGATTAATATCATGAGCATCTATCCAAGCAGTTGGGATCGATGACATGCATTAACCAAGTCAGCGAGCCTGACCACCCGATCCCGTTAGTCGCCGTGTGTATGAGTGTGTGTGAAGGGTGAGTCACAGCTGATTAACGTAAGCCTGCTTTCCTATACCCATTGTACTCACCTTACACCACCTGATCGCTGCTTGGACTGAACTCACCATTACTTCCGGTTGTCAAACATGTATTCCTCATGGGTTACAACTTGAGTTTCTATGAAGTTGAGGTAAATAACTTGATCTCTTACAGTAGGACAACAATGTTGGAAATAGGTGCAGTGTTTCAGCAATCAAGCCCCTTATGGATACTGTTTGAGTGAATCGCTCCATATTTTTCGTATCAGGCAAATGATTTGCAGTCACTCTTCTCTGCAGCAACACTGTTACCTCGGGAATGCCCTGTCTAAACTTATTTTTGGGGAATGTTTGTTTGTCTGTTGTTTAACGCCGCACTCGGCATTATTCCAGCCTCATGACGGCGGTCTGTAAATAATCGAGGCTGGACCAGACAATCCAGTGATTGATATTATGAATATCAATCTACGAAAATGGGAAACGAAGATACGAAGAGCTTGACCACCCGATCCCGTTAATCGCCTTTTACGACAAGCATAGATTTGCACAAATTTGTCCGATCGTGATACCAAGTTTATCGGTTTTTGCTTTTCCATATCACTATCTATTATATGCCAATACAATTTGCACATCATCGTATCCCAATTTCGATGTTGTGACCACATTGAAACTTTTGAACATTTTTTGTGTATTGTAAAAAATACCTGTGGTTCGAAAAGTGGTTAAAACCTAAACCCCAAGTTACAGTTCTACCAGCTGAACAGAGTGTACTCATAGGTCCCACAATAGCAAATTGTTAGCTGTTAGCCTGTCAATATTTTCTTGCAAAAATGTAAATTATATTAAATATATTCAGACACCGAACATTCAGAAATAACGCTTGAAAACGATGCCATACAGAAGGAGCTAGCAAACTACTACTTTACGTACGTACTTTAAGTACACATCAAATATGTGATGGGTATAAGAATCACCTTACTAAGTTTCAAGATGGCATCACCTCTTTATACAGCTGTGAACTTTGCAAGAGATATAAAACAATATCAGATCCTCTTTACTCGAATTGGTAACGAACGCCTACTGCCGACATAACCTTTAATATTCTTTAAATCCATTCTGAACAGACATTGACAACAGTGATATGACCGAATTGTTGAAACGGCGTTCAATAACACATTTTCCCTGTTTGTTAACTTCTTTGCTAAATGGTAATCCATAACCTTCAAATACGTTTTTCGCATGGGTATAGCTTACGCATAAAGCATTGTTATTATTCTTGTATAAAACGTGAAGGTAACGTAGTATTTGGCAATGACTAGGGGAGTATAGAGAGAAATGATTATTACTACATTAAGGTTTAATTTACTATTTTAGGCCATTGAGTTCAAAACATATACATCCGTATACCGATCGTATACGTGCAGCCTTTATGTGACAACTGCGCATACTTTGGAGGAAAACATACAAAGACATAATATAAAGTTTACCTTTGGGTAAAATACACAAATAATTTTTTTACATTACAGTACGATGTCATAACTTGATGTGAAGAGACAACTACATACACTGAAATGGCACGCTCTTATTTCAAACATACACAAGTATATCCATTCTATCAAATACATCCATGTATATGCATAACAATCATTATTTAACACACAATTGTAACCAGATATATACGAGATATTCCAACTTACCTCAAGCGGAAATGAGTAGATGTATGCTTCAATTGGCTACATATCCTACGGACAGGCTTGAATAATCATCAACCATCTGGAAATTAACGGAAAGCAATAAGTTGAAATATATCACACTGTCATCTTGTTTCACAAATCAGATTTGTAATAAAGGCTCTCTATTCAGTCCAGCAACAATAGCAGAAATCACGAGGTCTGACAAAGAACCAGCAACTGTCTTGGCACGTCCGTCGAGCACTTGTTATATTAAGTTCTTGTGGTGTCCTTTGTGGATTTTCGCGAGGTAAACGACCACTTGGCGAAAGTCCAACGAACGTCACGCGCACACAGCATCACCCCAGCGTAAATGATCAGGAATGCTCCCAAATTATACTATCCTATAAGGTGGAGTAGCCACTGGACAAGGAGTATATGATTTCACTGACAAGTTCATTCTAAAACACAGCGGGTAGAGATCTGGACAATGTCCAGCTGTGATCATTGATTGAGACACGTGCAATTGTCTGATCGCCGCCATAATAGACGGGTGAATATGTAGGCTATGGGTTGAATAGCTTCACGGCAAAGTTCACGTTCATAGTTAATGCGTTCATGTGTAGATAAATAAAATAGCATGCCGTGGTTCTCAGTTGTTGCTAATTTCAATCAACAACCACTTGAAGGATGTGATAATAATTCTACGCTCGCCTGACGCTACAGCTACATTATATGCGCTATACATGCCTCAGAATGTTATTGGATATAAATGGAAATAAAGGATTACATATTCCTGTCACTATGATGTAAAAACATTGTATTCTGGGCCATTTGACCAATTACCACCTACCGAGCCTAGACATTTGCTAAATCATATATGACAGGTATATCACGCCCAATAAATTTATTAACTTGCCAGTCATTAAACCCGTTACAAGAAGAAAGAAAGATATATATATATATAGCCTTGAGGTATAACTGAAGATGGTAGAAGTATGACAGGTAACACTTGTATATACACTTGTGTGGGCCGGGATAGGCTAGAGTTTCAGGATAATGAGAATGACCTGTTAAGACCCTCGGGTAGCGATTTAGACCTGCATGAGAGCCCCGATATCATGTTGGTCAGTCAGTTGGACAACACAAGCACAATCCCGGTCAATCTGCGGATGAAGCCGATCATTGTTTCACCGTGCTGAGCATGTCTAACGCACAAGTTTCTAAACCACCACGGCTTATGGAAATGTAGGATATTCACCTCAGGCCCAACGTGTACGAAAGGTTACAATGAATTATGCAAGGGTTCCTCAGATTCGGTAGATATATACCGAAATTGTTGGGCATGATACCGTTAAGTTCCTATATCGGTTCACGATCGGAAGGTTAATATTAATAATATTCATATTAACCTAATCACTTAATCTGGGATCTATATAAGAGTTATATAGACTTCCTGATTAAGGTTTATTACAAGTCCACTCACTTACCTACTTCATGTGCTCGAGTGCAGCTATGCGTTTCAATTTGATTCAATTTTTAAAAAAAAACCAGAGTGTAGTTTGAAGGTTAACGAGGCTGCACGGACACAATTAATCAGACACCCATTGTACGAAAGAAAACCTTCGCAAACCTTTAGTTTATGTAAATATTAATCCTGTGATAAATATAAATGAAGCTTAGTTAATTAAACATGTACATGATTGTATTTCCGAATTTGAAGGCCATTTCTATGTTTTCACTGATGTAGAAATCCCTAAATTGTTGTTCAATAAAATACATATACCCACACAGGTGTACATGCACCCATTGCTTTGATTGTACTACATTGTGACTATTATAGGCCAGGATTCATGACGATACAAGTTTCAAATACGCTCGTTACATGGCAATTGTGTTGCATTACACCAGTATAAGACATTACTTAGCAATGAATAATACAGCCCACTTTCTCTGTACATCTCCCAGATTCCAGATATCTCGTTAGACCACCCGTGAGATTCAGCTAAAAACGCATCTGCGTTCTTGCCGGATAAAACCTTGCCAATGGGATTTCTTATAAATATGTATTAAGATTTCAAGTCGGTAAAGAACGATAAAAGATGAATATGTAATAGAGACCTACTCAAAAGTAATTTATCTGTTTCATGTCACAATATTACACTGTCAAAGATATGCCAATGAAACGGACAGACTGATTGCATAGGAAAACCTTTTAACTTCAAATTGGTTCCGCCGAGGGAGAGAGAGCGAGCGAGCGAGCAAGAGAGAGAGAGTGAGAGAGAGAGAGAGAGGGGGTAGGAAAGGATGAATAAAGAGGAAATAGAGAGTGAAACATAGATGTTAAAAGGTAGACAAGTAGTAAAACTGACAGGTAGAGAGAGAGAGGCAGACAGACACATAGAGGTAGACATACAGGGAGAGAGGGAGATGTTTCATGAGAGACGAAGATGTTTCATGACGCCTGGTAGACATTTATTTCTTCACGTATACATCGTAATTGATTAATGTTGTACCTTTGACTCCATTTATAGATTTAAAACAAATATTTGCTCAGATATAAGCTGTGCATGAATGTTATGAATATGCATGTGTAGAAATATTTCCGAATGAAACATGATTTGTCTGGAAAGAAAATCCCGACCAAACCAATAAAAACGAAATGGTCCGTCCCCTAAACCATTCCCAACGAAAGACCCGAGTGTCGTGCTGTTACTGTCCCAATAAACATTGTAGGAGAGAACAGCCATCCCTGGAAACAATTATACGTTTCAGATGGTCCAGCCAGGGCGTCCACTAGGCCTCCTCAATGACCTGTTCCTGAATGACAGGATCACTCCAGTGACACTATCTCATTACTCTTGCTATTGAGTATATTGCTGCATTTTAGAAGTGGGAGATAGGGTTTCGGGTGGAGGTAGGATCCAGTGGGTTTCAGAAGCATCTCTCTCGATGGGATCATTATGGACAACTGAAGCACAGACAATTTCCTAAATCCCAGCAGCCTTCTCTTGACCTAAAAGCATTTGGTTTCTCTTGGCGTAGCGACAGTTCATTGTGATGTGCCTACCGATTTGTATATCTAGGAAATTGTTTTACCCTAAAGACGGAACCATGGCGATCCACTACACGGAAATGTGCTACATGAATTATAAGCTAAAAGGATTAATCAAAATTTCCAAGGTACCTATAATGGAGTGTGTGCAATTTATTTGTCAGTGTAACAAAATCAACATGGGTAGAAATGATGTTCATGATAATTATTTTGCTTTCCCCTTGATACAATTCAATCTCTTTCGTTTCAGACATCAGGCATCTTTGTGACTTTATTAATTGCTAATACTACAAAACAAGGAGTCATCGTGGTGATGTTACTACTTTAGTCTGTGGCTAAAAAACGGCTAATACCGCCAAACAGTAAGGTATCTTAGTGACGTATAAATGGCTAATATTACCACACATCATCTTTGTAGTATATCAAATGTCCTTCTTTTGTTGAACGTACAGGGGTTACACATAGAGTTGGTTGAGAAGTTTTCGGCAGCAAAACTGTTTAGAACAGAAAGAAGAGACTAGCCATTAATGTGGTTTAAATATAATGTTGATATGTTGAATTATGACCGTTCTGACCCTCCCCAGTTCAAGCTGTAGGTATTGATCGCGTGTTAAATAAACACAATATACTCCTCACAAAAAAATCTTTAGTTCTTTATCAGTATTCAGAAAAATGTGTTTGTTAACATTTGTTATATATAACACATTTACATAAAGCTTCATAGGAACATTTCCCATTTATCATACCTTACCTTAGTCCTAGCGATTTGCATATCTCTTAAAAGAAACTTGAATCTCTACAACAGAAGTGGCACATATATCATTGCCCAGTAGCAAAGTTTTATTAATTACAATTTCGGCCCCGAATAGATGACTGTCCCCAGAATACCTTTGAATAAATGCAAAGAATTCATTTTCAGGAAGAGGATAATTCGCCTTGGGAGTAATTTTCATTTGACAGGTTTGTCAACACCTTTATAGCACGTTGAAAAATGAAAGTCCTAGTTTCCCTAAATTATTGCACATCATTTGCTTCTGCAATCGACAAAATCCATCTCTGCCATTTTAACGAGGAAGAGGGAATATTGTTGAACTGTTTTACTGCTGTCTCCATCACACCCATAATGATTTGTGTTTCTCTCAGCTAGCTTTACGCATGCCCATGAGAACAAATTAAGTCACATTTTCTCTGGTTTGGGAATTAAATCAATACTTTAAAAGTTTACCACATTAGACCCCTGCATTACTTGTGGGAAACACATTCATGATTTGTATCTGCCATAGTTCAGTATAAGTGTTCCAAGAACAGAATTTTATGTGTGCGAGGAGCTGTGATGTCAGATGGCTTTGGATCGTCGTTCCAGTATCCATTCCAGAAGAAAATCAATTCTGGAATAAGAGATACTAAACAAGCGATTGAATGGTCTGTTTGTGAAAATGAAAAGTTAATCTGGATGCGTGACTTTGTAGCACGGACAGCTACTTAGAAATATCATTTTATAAGGGGACAACATTAAACGATAGGTATAGACCAAGGACCATGAGAAAACTTCCAAATATGCACTGATCGTGAAAATGGCAATACCGACTCTGATAAGCATGTTCTACGTATTTGGGGTTTACATGTCAGTCACTTTCTGTTCCACAGGGGCGGTGTGTTAGCCTCGTGGTTAAAGCAATCGCTCGTCCCACACAATGTGTGAAGTCCCCCTCCGTGATATTGCTGTAATATTGCTAAAAGCGGCGTAAAACCATATTCACTCACTATGTCCATATATATTTAGGCCGGTCATAGTGTTTGTGAAATGGGATCCATGAGATGTTGGAAACACCAGGGAGTTTTCCGACATTACATTTCCCACAGAAAAGGACGACAGGAGAGGCTCTAACAAGCTGAGATCTATTGCATCATCCGCCGTAGATTTGTCGTCATGTTCCCACAAGCGGCGTAAAATAATACTCACTCACTCCTTCACGCATAACGAGGAAACACAAAAACAACTGGCCCTGCTTTATTTATTAGCTCAACTCTGTTGAAGAAATGTAAAT